TGCCCCCAGTAAGCTTTATTCACCAATACGTCCAGTTGGATGACTTGTTTATGATCCCTATAAAGCAGGGAAAGTGCGTCTCAGGCCAAATTCATGCTTAATTTCAGTGTTTAGTTAAAAGTATCGTGTTTGAAATTCCACTGTTGTCCCCATTGGAGCTTAACTGGGCTTGTGATATGTTGGAAGCTGAAGTATGACTTCGCTAACTGAAGTTTTTCTACGAAAACGCTAAACTGGTGAAAGTCAAAGTCAGCAAACTTGCACACGCCATATTTTTTAAGCCATTTGAAGCCAACTACTATTTAAGAGGTCCGTTTACTTAAGTCATGTCATTTCATTGGCGGATTGGCGAGTGCCGCGAATAAACACACCCACAAAATATATTCGATGCTTGTGTACGACGCAGACATTACAGAAAGCATGTGATCAGCCTTATGCTATTCTGTACCGTTGACTGCCACCAAAGGTGGATGCTAGGAGGCTGTTGCCGTATACGATTTCGTAAAGTTTCATTTGGTTCGACTAGTCGCCTGCAAAAATGGTACAGACACAATGGCTTTTCTTCATATGATTTAGTAGGAAATTCCACAGGATCCTCTAGGCCTGTATGATATACCCTTAAGTGATTAAAGCCTCAAAAACAGACAAATGCCGTCCTACTGAACATGTCCGGGAAATTTCGATACAGCAACCCAATCAGTACAGACCGGTCTCTCTTGCTAGGTCTTCTGTTTTTATAAAGGTCACAATGTAGGCTAGCAAAAAGTGTTTGTTGAAAAAGGTCAACCATCCTTAAGGAGGCTTTGGTTTACATTTTTTCCACATAAAATAGACAGTGATAGTTTTATACAAGATCATTTTAAATATACGTATACATATATTATGTATGTAGAATGTATACATAAATGCAATTAATTCTACTGATTTGGGTCAAGTAAAGTTTAATCCAACGGTAACAAACCCATGACTGTTAATTCACTGTCTAACCAGTAGCTAGCGAGTGTATTCTACAGAGTTGTGAGTAACAGTTATTCGTAATTGTCGTCATTTTCTATCCGCTAAGGGAGAATGGTTCAGCCTCTAATTCTTGAAGTATACCCACGAACTTAGCAAACCATCATGCTCAAATGAATCCTCAGACGAGGAGGTTTCTACGACGTTTTTTCCGCACTGGACTAAACTTGACTGCTAGACTCCCAGTTCAGTCAGATTAATAAAGCATGTTAGTTCTACTTGTAAAGTAGGGAAAATTAAAAATTTCTTTAAAAAGATCAATGAAGTCCGCTCTGCTGTTCATACCCTTTAAAGAAACAAACTTTCTGTGTTAGTTAAGAAGAGAGTCAGATGCGCCATTAATTACATGTTTCAGTCATTTTCTTTAGAAAAACCAAAATTTACTGAATGGGAAATGGCTCCGCATGGCTCCCCAGTAAAAAGCACAGCGTCCTTAAGTTTGTTGACAGATCATTCCCACAGTACTATAAACTTTCGTATCCTCATCGTGTTCGATTTTAAGGGTTTTTTCATCACGTAAGAAAACAAAATATACGATCTCATCTGATTGCTTACGTCAGTATCGTTTCTTTCACTTACCAATAAATCTTACTCAAGATGTCTAAACTAAACAGTTGAAAACTAGCAGTCCTTAATGTCTTGAATATCAGTGGCATTCGACCTCAAGAATGTTAGACTTTAATGTCCTAGCAAGCCCACAGCATTGGAGTTTGTCTCAGTGTTACGAGCCGTATTTTCAATTACTTCACGGGTACGTTAAGCAGTCTGTACTACCATCAGACTCGAATGTGACTGCAATGGTGAATCATGACACAATAATTTTAGTACTTCCACTTCCCTAGAGTTTTGACAGAATTTTGTCTGTAAAAGACGTCCCTCGGTTCCTTCCGGTGCAACAGTGAACAACATAGCAGAATAATTTCACGTACACATAGGTATGTATCAGTCTTCGTTTACCACGTAAAGTGGACTATTCTATCCCAGGTTTTCTTGCTAATTTTTTCCAGTGTTCTTTTATTTCGTTTGGCAACTGTACACTTTCTCTGCCTAAATCATTGAATGATGTGAGCAGTTTTTACACTTGCGCTGTGCAGCCTCCGTTTTCGAGTCTAACCTGAAAGCAGTACTATGATGTCTTGGGCTTCTCAGGACCTAGAAAAATTCAATTCTGCCATCCTGAACCTGTTGCACATAAGTTCGGGACTACTAATTCCAGTGTATTTCAGAATAAGGATAAACAAAAGACACTCGGACCTCTAACGCTTTTGATCTTTAAAAACACATGGGCACAAACGAATCAGGCAATCAGTACCTCGTAGGTTGGTCTTAACGAACTGACTGCCTGACTAGCAACAAGCGTAATGCTGCTTTAGCAGTAAAGGCCTTTACATATGGATGGTTGACAAAATCGAACCAGGCCCGCCAATCAAACGATC